AACCCATGTTGCCCTGGATTTTTGCGATTTTGGGAACCAGGGATTTCCCAATCCTGCTTCTTAGCACTCTTTCAAAAAATTTTTATGATGTGGGACGTCAGAGCTATTGGTTATAGTTCTTAGCTAAGGTTTTTTGCTGCCCCCTTTTAGGGGAGGGGGTATACCCGTTGTTTTAAGTGCTGTGGAATTTCACCCAGTCCAAGCTCCTCCTCCATAGTGTACTTAGGGCACGCGAGGGGGTTTCTTGCAGTTTTAATGAAAACAGATTTTCCCGAGTCTCCCCCGGGGGCTGAGTGATAGGCATGTTGTAAAATTGGCTTTTTCAAAAATTCCTATCGGATTTAGGGTAATGTCGGAAATCTGGCATACATTTATGGAGTTTTGAGGCTCATTCATGAAGAAACCCTTTTGGGTCGTCGATCCTCAGCCCTTTTAGTGGTTCCTAAACACGGGAGTCGTACGGGGGTTTTTCAATATTTCCTCTTTTCCTTGTTGTCATCTGTGTAAGTCCCATCCGTTGAGAAAGGGGCCCGATACAGATGGGTATTTGCCTTTTTTTTTGCATATGAAAAAAATATTTTGAATTTTTTTAAAATTTCACTAATAGTTTTTAAGCTCCTCCTGAAATCTCCTGGTTCCTGTAAGAGTCATTTAGCTTAATTTCGTTTGTTTCCACTTCCCGGCCCACGCCTCCTTTCTTTGATCAAATTTAGAACTTTTGGGGGAGCTCAGTGACCTTGTCGTTTTTATAAGGGAGCGTCTTTTTCTCTCCATTTTTACCCCCCCGCTCTTCTTTTTTTCAAGGGAATATGCCTAGAACATGCTTCGGCTACCAGGAAGTTGTCCTTTTAAGGCACTTTTTTTGGAAACCATGTATTTAAGACATCTTCCCAAAAATGTTTCGTTTTGGACGTGGTTTACCTGGTCCCAGTTGATGTTTTTTGTTGTTGAAATTGTATTTTGTGAAGCACCTTTTACAGGGCAAGCATTCTGCTGTTCAGGACCCCTTGCATGTACGTCTGGGCTTCGATTAGATTTTGGGGGATCGGAAATTTGTTTTTTTTGATATTCTTATGTCCTTAACAAAGGGCCTCATTTTTTTGTGAAATAAGGTCAAGTGGGATTTTCTAGTTTTTGTTTTTTGGGTCCCCTACTGCTGGCTTAAGGGGTGTTTTTGGGCAGAGACTTTGTAGCTCATGTTGTTTTGAAACCCTTTTATCTGCGCTACCTCCGGGGGTTGTTTCAGCTATAACTTATTTGCTTTCAATTTCCCCCATTTTTTTATGCCTTAGGGTTTAAATTCCCCAAACAATAAGGGTTTTGGGGGGTGGAGCTGGGAAAGGGTTTTTCCCAAAAAGTAACGATTTTCGTATGTTCCTTTAACGGTTTGGGGGGTTGCATCTGGGGGCTTGGATTCAAAACCCAATGACTAGGGGTTTTGGGGTTTTCGATCTTTATTGATGAACTTCAACAAACCTTTATTTGTGGTGTTCAAAACAACTCCCTGCAGATAAGGGGGCTTTTGAATACAGACCAACCCCCCCCTTTTTGCCCGTTTTTTCGTTCCCCATCTAAAAAGGTTTTAACCACCTATTCCCTATTTCACTGGCAAAGTGATCCCTTTTTTTGTGGGGTCTCGTGGAAGGGTGCAAACATTGCCCTTAAAACTCCCTAGAAGTCCCCTGATAAAAAGGGAAATTTTTTTGTTGGTGGATGGTTAAGGCCCTGTATATTAAACAAATTTGAACGAGGTTGTATTCTGTTTTGGGGGGGGGATTTTGTTATTGGATCAGTAGTTGTAATTCTGGAGGGCCCGGGTGGCCACTGGGTGGCCCTTTCCCGGCCAACAAGGGTCCAAGGTGGTGGGCTATTTTTTTATTTCCCTTCCCTTTTTTTTTTTTTCGTTTCCTGCCAACTAAAAAATTTACCTGGAGTTGGTTGTCGTTTGCTACTATTGTTTTTTCTTGTGGGGTTTTGTGCCTCCTGGTCCCTTTTTGATGGTAAGCAGGGCACTCGATGTTTTAACACTGCTTCGGGAGGACCCAGGAAAATACAGGAAGAAAACGACACACTCCTTTAGACGGAGGTCACTACATTTTTTGGGATGGTCAAAGTTGCTTTTCCCATTTTTTCCCCGTTATTCCATGCTTTCAATGCCCCAAGCATAATATTTCACAAAATTCCCCCTTTTTTGGGGAAATTTTTGGGGGGTTTGTTGGCAATTTCCCGCGGTTCGGGGCTGCACTATACCTTTAGTATCCAAGCCCGGGCCACCCCGTCCTGGATTCCCTCACTTTTCCCCCGTAGAGGAAAAGGGGGGAAACTCCCCCCAACATCTGACTTTTGGGCCACGGTCTTTTTGCAATGATGGTTGTATTTTAATGGGTTTTTTTGGTGGTTTAGGGATGTCCCTATGGGGAGTCTGGGCTGGGAAATAAGGCTGGGGGCCCCGGGTTTTTGGGTCAGCACTGGGGTGGGGGGTGGGGCTGGGGCTGGGTAGCGGCTGGGGCCTGGGGCCGCCCCCACTGTGGGGTATTAGTGCTATGACTGGGGGGGCCTGGGGGCCCCACCAGCACTGTGGGTAAGGGGCTATGTGGGGAAACCTGGGGGGGCCCGCACCGCCTGTGGGTATTAAATGCTATGACTGGGGGATGGGTCTGGCTTAGCACCATGTGGGTGCTAGATAGTTTTGAGTCATCTTTTTGGTATGGACATTCTGCATTTTTTTGGGTACACTAATTTTTGCTCCCCTTTTTTATATATTTTTGGTAGACTATCCCAAAAGGTTTTTCCTGTTTTTCTTATTTTTTTTTTCATTTATTACTCTCCTTAGTACCCTTTTTGATACCTGCCCAAATTCTTTCATCTTTATTGCAAACCGAAGCACCTTGCTAGTTTTTGAGGGCATTTTTTGAGGTTGTATTTAGTCTAGTACAAGAGATATGGTGTTTGGAAGAGCATAGGTTGCATGTGATTCTGGATTTCCTTCCAAGGATTTTTTTACATGTCCCACAGATATGCTGTGCTGACATCCTGTCTGTATCCTACTACACTGTATGCCACGGAAGAAAACTGATTTCCACTTTACCTTTCTCTTGCTGGTGCCAGTAATATGCAAGATGTATTTATACGAACCAAGTTTGCAGTATGTGGGTGGTGGTGTAGGGTGGGTGTAGGGTGCTAAAAAGTAAGACATTGACCATGATAGCTCGTTGTACGAGGGTCAGATGGTAAAGACGCTGCTTCACCCGTTCCACCATCTGAACTGAGTTGGCCTCTCTTGCTGCCCCCAGGTCACCCTCATAGATGATGTTACAGATCTTTAAACTTCCGGCCTGCCACTGCACCACGGCACATCCCCACTCCACTCTTCCCATCCATTCCCCAACCCCATGATCGACGATTTCTCAAAGTACACTTCCATGCCCATAGCACCCCCAAACGTGGGTACAACCTCCTCTAACTCCCCCAACCGTGTCCCCTCCCTCGCCAGAACAGTCATGTTATCACCATATCCCACCAAACCAGGCCAGATCAGTCTGTCGCCTACACCTCTCCCCCACATATACAATCCTCAACCAACCTGTAAAAGGGGTCCTGTACACATGCAAACAAGAGGTGCGACATCGGACAGCCCTGCTGACCGCCACACCCACACACCTGTACAACGTTTCTACCCACCCCACGATTTCCTCCTTGAAACTCACTTGGAGGAGGATGCTCCTCAAAGACCCCCTTTCCACTTTATCATATGCCCCCTGCCAATCAAATGCTAACAACCCCCCCTCCCCCTTTCCAGTTCTTCCACGAACCCCTTAAGGATCCTGTGCCCTGTGACCATCGACCTCCCTGGCAACCCAAATTGACTCTCCAACACCACCCTCCCTACGAAGCATTTGACGCGGTTCCCTAAGACCTTCGCGAACAGCTTGTAGTCAGTGTACAACAACAAAATGACTCGGTAATCCCGAAGGGTAGGCTGCTGCTTCCCCTTCAGCACCCGCACCACCACCACCTTGGCCTGCATCTCATCCAACGTAACCCTCTCTTTCGTCAAATTCATCAACTGAACCAGAAATCCCTGCATCAGCTCCCTATGCTGCACGCAAAATTCACACTGTAGACCATCGATACCCGGCGCCTTTCCCATGCTCATCTCCGTAAGCACCTTCCAGATTTCCTCCTCTTCGATGCCCCTTCTAGCGCCTCTCTATCGTTTCTCCCCAGATTGCACAACTATAGTAGAAGAATAACAGTAGTATTAGTGGTAGTACAGTATAGTATAGTATAGTATTGGTTATATTTATCAGTAGCAGTAAGTGTATTGAGGTACAGCTGTATAAGAAGGAGTGCTATACAAAATCGCAGGATTAGTCTATTTTTATTTAATTATCACTGTTACAAACTGCTCTGCCCATACATTTAACTTGTAGGTCTCCAACAGTAAATATATTCCAGTCTTGACATGTAAATATCCTGTGTCTCTCCATATTGTTAACTAAACTACATTCATTATAAAGCAAACTGAGGGAAGATGTATGTGCTCCCTTCACTTACTTCTTCAACTTTCTTCATCTATTGCTACAATAGTTTTCCACCCACAACTTTCTACCTGTTACTCTACAACTTCTTCCTTTTCTCTTCTAAATCTTTTTTTTTATTCTCTTCCTTGAGAAGCTGAAACTGTTTCTTTGCAGCTTTCAACATCAATCTTAAGACCAAAAGTTTCAAAGTACTCTAGATGAACTATGGTAAGAAAATAATAATGCATCTCACACTATACAAGACTTGACGACACATATTGAAGATTAAAAATAAAAAGACACGATAAGTAGAGAAATTAAGAAAGATATTTTAAACCAGTATAGTTGTTAATAATTACAACATATAAATTGAAAATATCTCGTGGCAAGTAATTCTAAACTTTTTAAGGCAAGGCTGAGAGTGTAAATACTAAGTTAACTTTCACTGATACAAAGAGGCAGTAACACCATCCTTACCAGCCACTGTAGGTATAAAATGTTTGATAAAAGGCTGTGGCTATTAAGGGAGGATCCCAGTTGGTGCCAGCCATGACATCATCAAAGTTGTGTGTGCGTCCCAACACCAGATAGTAGATACCAATTGTGATGATCATGATGAGTGCCAATACCTTAGTCAGTGCCAGAATGTTCTGCACTCTGGCAGCCCATTTTACTTCCTGGAGTTGACCCATGCTAACGTTACTGAGGACACACAATACACATTGAAAGTATACAAATTACACACAATTACAGTTGCTACAAACAGTTCTCAAAGTAGTAGACTGATTATGGTAAATTAAATCAAGGATTAGAAAAAAAAAACACATGAATCATGAATGTAATTAGTGTTACGCAGTGTGTTACAGAAAAATATATTATAAAATAACGTTCCATATATAATGTCATTTTCCGCGTAGTATACGGAAAGTGGACGTGTATTATTCCCTGTAAGCGAACGCATTTTATTCCTGCCAGTCAGGCAGTTCCCAGGACAGGAGCAGATGAGTGGTGTGTTTAGTTCAGTACCAGACGGGTGGTGACAGGGTGAAGCCATTATGTTTGGACGATAATCTGAGTAGGTAATTTTGGTAAGTTTTTTAGTGTATACTATAAGTGTGTTTAAGTGCTCTAATGTTTATTTGTAAAGCCCTAGTATGCAGGGGCCAGTGTTTTGGAGAGTATTTAACGTTTCCACTGTAGGCTAAGTAGCCTGCAGAAAGGGTGGGGGAGGATCTCACGGAGCCTCCCTGTTCATAAATGTTCATTTATTTTCTTTGACTCAATAGTAGCAGTGTGCTAGTGAGTTAATGTGACCTGGGATGTGATGGTTTTTTGAGTAGATTGTAAGTTGTATGTAATTTACTATTATATGTATATTTTTATATAGGTGAGTTTTTGTCCTTCCTTTCTAATAATAATTAATATTGTTAAATATATGAGTACATGCTAGCCCAAGGTTTGCTGTGTTTCCAGAGTAATTTTATAACCTCTAGACAGCAGTGTGAGCAGCCTTTAGGAACCAGGAATATTTATTTAAGTTACGACATCAAAGTCGTAACAATAAGCTAGTCTTATTAATATGTCACTGCAAATGAGTATCATTCTCTACATGTTTGTCTCTCATTTAATTACTCTCTCATAATTACCCTCTCATAATGAGAGGATTTTCTTTCATCTTAAAAAATTTCTTCAGAGAAAACACCTGCGCTTTGTTTTAATTATATATTTTTGACTACTAGAATCTTAATAATTTGCATGTCGCCTAATTAATGCAATTGCCATCTTTCTGACATTGTGATACTACAGGAGTTACTTCCTCTCCTGTTTCTCTTGTCTTGTTTAATAAATTAGTGAAAGTGACTGTTCTGTTTCTGATAGACTTAGTAAACAAAGTGTTCACACCAAGAAGAGACAAATGTTTCACAGACAATGTTATCTTCAGTAGAACATAATATACAGAATCTTAACATAAATCTTTCTTCTCCGTAGTTACTTGCCTTTTCCAGTATATTGGTAATAGTCAAGAATTGACCGAAATGTCGTCTAGTTTTCATCTCCAGTTTGTGGATTAGCTGTGAATTTTTATAATAATGTTATTGAATCCAACACTTTGGATAACTTTGAGGGAGGACTTGATAAATACATGAGAAGGAATGGTTTGGTTTAAGTTGAACATGCCTGGTATGGGCCAAAAGTGCTTCTGCCATCTGAGTTTTGCATATGTACTTTTTATACAAACTCTTCTAAAGTCTATATCACAAAAATCAGTGTGCTTGTTTACCAAATTGTTCTGACAGAGACGTATTTGTGTGGTTAAGACTCAGATCCTTTCCTACCTTCAGGACCACTCTGATCACCATCGCTGATTTCTGGCCTTTTAGGTCTTATATACCTTACACACACACACACACACCACACACACACACAACACACACACACACACACACCACAACAACATACAATACAATACACACACATCATATATTATATATATATATATATATATATATATATGTATATATATATATATACTATAATAATAATATATCGCGCCGAATATGTAAAACTGGTCAATTAGCAAGAACTCATGTAAAATTAAGATCTTTCTGAAGTTTTCTTTTAAACGTTTAAAGATATATTTTTTTCATTAATGTTAATGTAAAAAATTTTAATTTTGCACCAAAAGAATCTTAGAAAACTTACCTAACCTTATTATAACAAGAACAATTTATTTTCGCCTAACCCAACTAAATATATTTTAGATTTGTTTACAATAATACTAAACTAAAATAATAATAAACAAACACAGTGAAATATATTTTTTCCGTTAGGTTCAGAATGATTTTGGCGAAATTATTGCATACACAAATTTTCACTTGTCCTATATGGCAAGATGATCGTTGCTATTTAAGCCAAGATCGCAAGTTCTGCCTATTCGGCACGACAATATATATATATATATATATACTAATTATATAATATATATAATAATATAATATATATATATATATATATATATAATATATATATATATATTACTCTTGATGCTGTGCTGTCCATAAGTCAACCTTCCTGAGACTAAACAATTCCATTCCAACATTGGGTCATCTCTTTTTCATCTTCCACGTATGTCACCTTGACTCTGTTGTCCTTATTAAATCAGTCTATCTCTATCTAGCCATTAATTTCTTAAGATTTGTACATAATTTGTCACAATTTCATCTTCCTGTCGTTAGGTTCAGTTCCTTCATCCTTTACTCACAGAGCAACACTGTTCTGGGACAAATCTCTGTGCAAGGCAACACTGTGTTCTGGGACAATCTCTGTCAAGGCAACACTGTGTCTGGATAAATCCTGTGCAAGGCAACACTGTCTTCTGGGACAAATCTCTGTGGGAAGACAACACTGTGTTCTGGGACAAATCTCTGTGCAAGGCAACACTGTGTTCTGGGACAAATCTCTGTGCAAGGCAACACTGTGTTCTGGGACAAATCTCTGTGCAAGGCAACACTGTGTTCTGGGACAAATCTCTGTGCAAGGCAACACTGTGTTCTGGAACAAATCTCTGTGCAGGCACACTGGTTCTGGACAAATCTCTGTGCAAGGCAACACTGTGTTCTGGGACAAATCTCTGTGCAAGGCATACACTGTGTTCTGGGACAAATCTCTCTACAAGGCAAAATGGTGTTGTGGGACAAATCACTGTGCAAGATACACTTTTTTTGGGACAATTTCTCGTGCAAGGCAACACTGTGTTCGGGACAAATCTCTCTACAAGGCAACACTGTGTTTTGGGACCAAATCCTGTGCAGGGAAACACTGTGTTGTGGGACAAATCTCTGTGCAGGCAACACTGTGTTCTGGGACAAATCTCTGTGCAAGGCAACACTGTGTGGGACAAATCTCTGTGCAAGGCAACACTGTTCTGGGACAAATCTCCTGTGCAAGGCAACACTGTGTTCTGGGCAAATCTCTCTACAGGCAACACGGTTGTGGGACAAACTCTTGCAAGGCAACACTGTGTTTTGAGACAATTCTCTGTGCAAGGCAACACTGTGTTCTGGGACAAATCTCTCTACAAGGCAACACTGTGTTGTGGGACAATCTCTGTGCAAGGCAACACTGTGTTGTGGAAAAAATCTCGTGCAAGGCAACACTGTGTTCTGGGACAAATCTCTGTGCAAGGCAACACTGTGTTGTGGGACAAATCTCTGTGCAAGGCAACACTGTGTTCTGGGACAAATCTCTGTGCAAGGCAACACTGTGTTCTGGACAAATCTCTGTCAAGCTTTCAACATTTTCTGAAGGCTCTGACAGGTGTCATTTACTCAGTGATTGGCCTAACATGTTATATATGTCTTACAGGTGCTGCTTACAGGACATGGTAGTAGTTGTGATATATACTTACAATGACTGATTCAGAGTAACTGTTTTCGGGACAAATATTTTCTGAGTGATTACCTAATTCCCCACAATGACCCTCCACCCGCGTCACTCCCTCCTATCTAGAGCCTGATATCCCCAAAACCTGATATCCACAATGAATCCCTCCCACGCTGATCCCTGCGACTGACCTCACTCCCTCACCCTCACCTTCACCCACTCCCTCACCGTCACTTTCCCCATCACCTCACCTTCACCCACTCTCTCACGTCACTTTCCCATCACCTCACCTTTCACCCACTCCCTCACCGTCACTTTCCCATCACCTCACCTTCACCCACTAATCACCGTCACTTTCCCATCACCTCACCTTCACCACTCCCTCACCGTCACTTTCCCCATCACTCACCTTCACCCACAAACTCACCGTCACTTTCCCCATCACCTCACCTTCACCCACTCCCTCTCCGTCACTTTTCCCCATCACCTCACCTTCACCACAAACTCACCGTCACTTTCCCATCACCTCACCTTCACCACTCCCTCACCGTCACTTTCCCATCACCTCACCTTCACCCACACCTCCTGAATCACCTAATAATATTCAACCAACAAGGTAGATTTCTTAACACAATTAGGTTCGCATCAGTGGCGTATGATGGTTATTCTCACAGTGTGTGCACTGTGCACTCTGTTACCGTGATCAACCTTACTATTCTGGCGTAAGTATTACTCAAAAATATAAACACACAAACTTTAGGCTATTTCTATAAATAATGCGAATTGCAAATTGCAAACGATATTGCAAACGATATGAATTCATAAACTGAATTCCTAATATTCTATAACTTGTATGAACTGCAAAATGATAGATAAATTTTTATCTTATGTATTAAATTTAAAAATAAAAGCACCAGATAATTTTATTTACTTAATTCACTTGTACGTCGGTTCTTTTCTTATTTGAGATGTAAACTGTTCTATGATCTCATCGTACAAGCTACTACCTTTTTTATGGTTATAACTGTGACTATAATTTTTAAAGGGATGGACTGGTAAGCCAGCAGAAGGCCTCGGTCAGATGGCCAAAAGCCCCAACGGCGGGTCATCATCTGACTAAGACCCGCGTCAGGAAACACTTGTTCTGTTTCCTGACAAACTTTACCTAACGTCTTCATACAATGAATCTTTGCTTCAGTAAACTTGTTTCAAAAGAGAGTAAACTGAGGTCCCTTAGTCTTTCCTTGGCTAAACTGTTACCGTCGACTACTGTAAACAACAGCTGATATTGTAACGTCAACAGCCCAGACTTCGACCTGACTTAATAATAATAATAATAATCTTTATTTACTACAAGTACATGTACATGGTATACAGTCCTAGCTGACAACAATGACATACTACTACATAGAAAGCCACTTGTTATGCTGAAGCATCTCGGCAAATTAGGTCAGTGTCCCAGGATGCGACCCACACCAGTCGACTAACACCCAGGTACCCATTTTACTGATGGGGAACATAGACAACAGGTGGAAAGAAACACGCCCAATGTTTCTACTCTGGCTGGGAATCGAACCTAGGCCCTCGCCGTGTGAAGCGAGAGCGTTAACCACCAGGCCACCAGAGCCTTAATTTTTGTTTGAATGCTTTATTAGATTTGAAAATAAATTATGACAGATTATATCACGATGCTGCAAGAACAGAATTATTATAATGAAAATCAGTTTCAGGTAATGAATTTTCATTGAATTTATGCATACATCTTTTCTTCACCACGGAAACGAAACACAGGATGTGTGCTGGTGGAATGTCGCTCACCCTTCGGCCCTTATTTCTGTCACTTTCCCAATTATGCCCGCCATCACCAGCGCCATATCATGATACAACTAGCTATGGGGTGTGAAGTGTAATCTCAGAAACTGCCATAATATTTCATAATAAGGGACAAAAAATCGTTTCCTATTGTAATGCACGATTATATTATTAAGTGAATTTAATATTTATGACGAATTTACTAACTTCAGTGGGTGTGAGGCGCTCACCAAGCACACCCAAAATATAAGCCTCTGGTTAGCATAGATCCCACTGTGACTACAAAGCAGGTTTACTCACTCTTTACTTTCAAAAAAAACAATACACTTTTCTTACCCCTTCTTACACTCCCCAAATGAAAAAAATTCCCACGACCCTTTGAGAGGGGACTGTGGAGGCCCCCTGGCAGCCCGGGAAAGAAGGGTTTAGGAGGGTATTAGCAAAGGTTAGTGCCCGAGGCTCTCTTGCTTGGCACTTTTTTCATAAGAAACTGCCACGGTAGTTTAAATGCGGGGTATGGGCCCAAAACGCCTCTTGTAAGTACATTTTGTTTTCCTTCCGCTCTCCAAATTCATCACCCTGAGAGGGGAAAGTGAAGGGACATCTGGATGGAGAAATTTTTTTTTTTTTTCGAGTAGTGAACATTTACGAGGAAATGTTAGGGAAAAGGGGGAAAAGGGGAAATTTTTTGGGGGTTGGAGACTTTTAGTTGCAAGGGTTTGGGGAAATAGGAATTTGTTTTAAGAATGTTGGTCGAAAATTTTTAAAAGGGGACGCAGGTAATGGGTAACTGCCCCCTACTATTTTCCCAAAAACCATTGGTGATGAAAACTGTCTATACTGATTCAGCAAACCCTTGGTACTTTAAACGGGCCCT